AACTTCCAATAGTTCAATGGAGTGATGAAACAGGAATGGCGATCTACTTCCCTGGGAAGTTTTTTTTTGTTTTCAGTGGACCAACTAAGAATCTCCAAAGCATGGCTGAGAAAGGACACATTTTGTTGAAGTGTTTCATCATGCTCTCATCAGGACAATTCACAAGAATGCCAATTCAAGGGGAAAACCAAAGCTGATTGATTGGCAAAACAACTCTTGAATTGATCAAGGTAATGCCATGGAACTTCAGTGGTTTGTGATGATTGACAGTTAACTGCTGGGCTTTGTTTAAATTTTAAACTGGGTAGGCTGACTCTGATCGGTCAAGACGTTGATCTGAGTAATGCACCAGCGAATGGCTGCCACCTGCTTTGCTGATTTGAAACGGTTGTGATTGGAACCAGGTGGATCTTGTTGGCTATGAGATCCTCGATTGGGGTTATTAACCTGGGCCAATCACAAAGCCCTGGCTGACCAATATAAACAGGGGATTTAGAATCTCCTCAGTTCAGGAGACTGACTCCGAGCTGGCTGGCCATAGCCAGTGTACTGTTCACAAGTAAATAAAGGGTGTCTTAGTGATGGGATACCAGCCTTGGTACAGTTCTTTCAGAAACAGATGCAGTACACGTGTGTACATATTCTTTCCATCTGCAAGAACTGGATTGTTCGCGTTAATACATGTAGCTTCCAGAATGAATAAAATGCTTCATACTGGAGCTTGACAACCCAAAATTGGTTGTCAGTATACTATCTGACGGTTCATTTCTCAGGGCAGCACCTTGACTAATCAGAGTCAACCCGCAGCCTGGTTTAAAATGTATCCAAACCAGCTTACTAACTGTTAATCGTCATTATGTGGTGCATCCTCCATGGCAATGCCTCCACCAATTCAGAGGCCACTTGCCAACCAATCAGCACTCTCTTCTTGAGCAGTGTAAATGTTTGTTTTCCTCTTAAATTGGTATTCTTGCAAAATGTCCTGATGAGTGCAAGATGAAAAGCCTCAGCAAAATGTGCCTTTGTTCCCCCAACAGCGCACATGGTTTGTACGACCAAACGACAACATCCAACATGTCCACTGCAAAACAATTGGATTTTGGAATGGAAACTGGTTCTTATAACATGTACAGCTATATCTCGGTCTTCTCTTCACGCTGTGCCTGATCTCTATAGCCAGCAGCTCCTGACCAGCCAGCACTTACTCAGTGATGTGCAACGACAGGGGTCATGTTTGTCGAGGTAATGCTCCAGGGTGTCCCATCCCCCACCCACTCGCACCATCACGTGACTCCGCAAAATCTACAAAATAAGACAGAAAGGCAGGAGTGAGCCCGGAGAACAATTAATATGTCTTTCCTTGAGCAAACCAGCAAATTGCTTTTTTTTTGTATTTGTTTAATTTCATTTTTAGAACAAGCTGTTTTCAGCTCTTGAAGTCTTTGTGGTGGAGTCTGGAGGACAATTTCAGCACCGAATTATGGAATCATTCTTGGCATCTAAATACAATCTGTCACCCACATAGATGGAACAGAGAGGGATCAATGATGATGACCGTGACTGCGTTAAAGCAATAAATTGGTAAACCCAGACCAGGTATGTTCCACAGAGGATTATTAATTCTGACCAATGCCTTTTTGCAACGTAAGCGTTGGTGCATTTGTACAGCCAATGATGAAGTGTCATTTGCAGATTTTTAGCACAGCGTGGGTGTAAATGATACAAACTGGACAGCTAGTCGCTGTCTTAAAGTTTGTGCCTCACCCAGTTCTTACGACTCGTTAGCATCAAGAATGTATATTTATAAAATCTTTCAGAGACCTGGAGAATCAATGTCACGGAGGGATACAAACACCAGAATCACAAAGTGGAGGCATTTTCAGTCCAAATGCCAATGTGGGTTGGCAAGTAGTGATGGTCAAACAGGGGACAGGCAAGTTATGAAATGGCCTCAGATCACGTTTGACTGTAGAGAATGACCCTTATGAAGAACCTATATAAAAGTTCTTGTGATTTGACCTATAGGTACCTATTTGGGGTGGCACGGTGGCTCAGCGGTTAGCACTGCTGCCTCACAGTGCCAGGGACCCAGGTTCAATTCCACCCTCGGGCGACTGTCTGTGTGGAGTTTGCACATTCTCCCCATGTCTGCGTGCGTTTCCTCCGGGTGCTCTGGTTTCCTCCCAACAGTCCAAAGATGTGCAGGTTAGGGTGGATTAACCATGCTGAATTACCCCATTGCGTCCAGGGATGTACACTTTAGGTGAATTAGCCATGGGAAATGCAGGGATAGGATAGAGGGGTGAGACTGAACGGGATGCTCTTCAGAGAGTTGGTGTGGACTTGATGGGCCAAATGGCCTGTTTCTGCACTGTACAGATTCTATGGCAATTAGTGGAAGTTGAATTCAATAAGAACATGAAATTCAAAGTCTATATGGTAATCATGAACCCTTTGTCAGATGTCATAAAAACCCATCTGGTTCACTAATGTCCTTCAGGGAAGGAATGTGCCATCCTTACCTGGTCTGGCCTACGTGTGACTCCAGACCCATAGCAATGTGGTTGACTCAACTGCCCTCTGGGCAATTAGGGATGAGCAATAATTACTGGCTTAGTTAGTGACACCCACACCCCATGATCAAATATACTAAACAAAACCATGAAATGGGTTTGACAGTGGCCTGCCCCTCCCAACCCTATGAGTGGACTTTTCTCCAAATAAATGCACAATAAATGTGCAGTCTAGGTGGGTTAGCCATGCAGGGTTACAGGGATAGGGTGGGGGGTCTAGCTGGGATGGTCTTCAGAGAGTCGGTGTGGCCTTGATGGGCCAAATGGCCTGCTTCCACACTGTAGAGATTCTATGATTCTATGAACATAATCCTTCTAAACCGTGAATGATCCTCTTGCCCGGGGACAACGAGGAAATCATAAAATGATTTTTAGATTTAAAATTGTTCTTTAGTCAATATCAGGCAAATTTTCAGCTGTTCCAGAATTGCCCTGCACTTGGGTCTGTGAGGAAATAGTGGATTTCAGAAAGGCTTGTTGTTTGTAAATTCCTCTCCACAGCTGAGGAGAGAAGATAGGACTGAAAAATGGGGCAAAATTCATTCGTGGAGATGAGCAAAGCGGTGCCCTTGTCAAACTAAAACAAAAACTGGAAATCTGCTAGCACTCACCCTCACAAAAATCAAAGTGTTGGAGTCGCCCACTTTGTATTTCCCTTCAGAGATTTTTACCATGGGAAACTGATCAGGACAGGTACAGCGGCTCACTAAGTAACGTACCTGCCAAGTTAAAAAAAGACACAGGTAAGCAAACAGAGCCCTTCACAACTTCAGAATGTTCCAAAACATTTCAGAACCTCCGAGATGATTTTTTTTTGACGTGCTGTTGTAACGTAGGAAATGCAGCGGCCAATGGCAATCTGAGAGATGAAATCAGTGACTAGATCAGCTGTTTTAGTGATGTTAGCCAAGACTCTCTTTGCTGTCCTTCAAATAATCGTTCACAGCCAGAGGGCAGAGAGAAAGACTCATGTAATGGGGCAGGTGATGGCCTAGTGGTATTAATCACTAGACTGTTAGTCCAGAGACCCAGGATATGTTTTGGGGACCTGGGTTCGAATCCCGCCACAGCAGATGGTGGAATTTGAGTTCAATAAAAAAATCCGGAAATAAGAGTTTAATGACGACGATTGTTGATTGTCGGAAATTCCAATCTGGTTCACTAATGTCCATTAGGGAAGGAAAACTGCCATCCTTATCTGGTCTGGCCTACATATGACTCCAGACTCACAGAAATGTGGTGCAATCTTAATGCCCTCTGGGCAGTTAGGGATGGACAATAAACGCTGGCCTAGTCAGTGACACCCTCACCCTGTAAATGAATGTAAAAAATATAACTTCTCATCTGAGAGAAGCCACCTCCAACAGTTTAACATTGGATGGTCAGCTTGGATGATGTGCTCAGGTGTCTAGTGTGGGGCTTTTGAAACCATGGTGTTTGGGCTCAGAAACAAAGTATCCAGCTCTAACGCACAGCAGATACAGGACAGCTGAGAGACTTAGGACTGACTTCAGTGTTCCCTACCAGCAAGAAAGTATGAGATGGGGACCCCATCAATTTCCCATCTCCACCTAATTAAGTAAGGGGTGGAAAGGCTCACGGGCAGCTTTCCCACCAGGAGCTGGATTGAGATCCTGATCCACGACTATTGAAGGGCCTCAGTCTGGCCCCGCTGGTATTTAATGAGTCACATCATCATGCACAGTCCTGCAGGGGTGTCATTCAGAGGCACTCTCTACCCAATCAAAGGACCCAACATTAGAAAGGTGTAGAGTGTTTGCTGAGGACTACATTCTACTCTTTCTGTGAGGATGTTCCTCCTCACTCTCTCAGCCATGCAGGGCTGGTTAGATGGGAGTTGGTTAGCTGGATGGCTGGTTTGCACTGGAGAGTAATACCAACCACACGGGTTCAATTCTCGCACAGGCGAAGGTTAACAGGAAGTTCCAGCCTTTTCATCCTCAGCCCTCAGGTTAATCTCACCATCTCTCTCTCTAATGGTCTACGGTCTTCTGGGACTATGGTCACGTTCACTGATTGACTTCAACGATAAATTTGTTGCCATTATTCGGATGTGACGAAGTTCATTTAGGTCCAAAGCCCTTCTGAATGTTAGCCTAATGGGATGGAATTGCTTGCTACTGAAATTGATCAGGTTATTGAAATTACATGATATCGATTGCTCCAGAGGTGTGTAATAACATCTCTGAACAGGTTGATTAGAAAAATAGGTTAAATGAAATAAAAAAAACATGACATTAACAAGGGCCCTCTTATGGTACAATGGTAGCAGTCCTACCCTTGTACTGGGATGCCTGGATTCAAGTCTCACCTGCTCCAGAGGTGTACAGTAACATCTCTGAACAGGCTGATTAGAAAAATAGGTTAAATACAAAAAAAAATCAAGACATTAACAGGGGCCCTCTTGTGGTACAATGGTAGTGTCCCTATCCTTGTACTGGGAGGCCTGGGATTAAGTCCCACCTGCTCCAGCGGTGTGTAATAACATCTCTGAGCAGGTCAATTAGAAAAGTAGGTCAGAGAATTGACCTGAAAAATCTTCATGACATCAAGTTTGGGAAGAGAACAGGTTCTGAAGTTTCTTTGACAGAATTGTGACTCAGTCTTGAAGACTCACTAATCCTGCCATCTCACTACTCACTGTGAGAGTGATGGTTTCTTTTGCCAGCATGAGAAGCTGGATCTTATTGACTTGCCTGCATCAAAACACAGGAGCAATCAATGTCACATTGGAGATTAGATGTGCACTGTCAAGATTTTCAGGGAGTGTGGAACAAGATGCATGCCCAAGGGTCTCATTAGATGCAGAGATATTTGTTCAAAGTTGTTTAAAAATCACTGATTTTCACAAAAACATTGAGCTGAGTTTTACAGTGCGGAGGTGGAAATGGGCTGGAATTTGCAATGGAGAGTTCAGGAGGACGCTGCAAGGTTGAGGGAGGTTACAGTTATAGAGAGGGGGCTAGGGGATGGAGAGATTTAAATGCAATGATTAAAAAAAAAGTCAATTTAAGGTCAATGGACGATGGGACTTGAAGCAAGAGTCTGAGAAGTAGAGATTTGGAAACAACTTAAGTTTATGGAGAATGTCAAGGTAGATCAAAACAATAGGACATAACATTAAAATTGGTCTCAGAGTGTTCATAAGTTCACAAAAGCGAGTGGAAATTCAGAATTGTCTACCAAAAATCGCTGTTGTCTGAGGATTGAATAGATTAGCCTTTATTGTCACATATACTTAATGAGTATAATGAAAAGTTTATAAGTCGCCGATTACAGTGCCAACTTCGATACAAAAGTACCTAGGCACAACTTCTGGATTGATTGAAAATGTCAAAATTATGGTTGGTGGATTTTTGTTCAGAAAAGGACATTATGGCTTGCAGAAGCAAGGTGAGTCTATGGAATTAAGATGCAGATTAGCCATGATCTGAGTGAATGATAGAACAGCTCAATGGGGTGAATGGCCTCTTCCTGTTCCTGTTCATTCCCTCTGTTCTATTACCTTAGCTTGAATTTCATGCCCGTTATAATAGTTTTAATTGTGGATCCTGTTTAATGGGAAGCCTCAAACTATACAAAGAGCTCCTATTACGGCCCACTCAAAGATTTGTACAAATTGAACATTAACTCAGAGACAGTGGGAACTGCCGATGCTGGAGAATCTGAGACAACAAGGTATAGAGCTGGATGAACACAGCAGGCCAAGCAGCATCAGAGGAGCAGAGAGGCTGACGTTTCGGGTCTGGATGTTTCGGTTTCTGAAGAAGAGTCCAGACCTGAAATGTCAGCTTTCCTGCTCCTCTGATGCTGCTTGGCCTGCTGTGTTCATCCAGCTCTACACCTTGTTATCATTGAACATTAACTCGTTGTTTTTGTATTGTACTTTTTGTTTAAAATCCAAAATACCATTTACCACTTTACAATTATTTTAATCTCCATCAATTTTAAAGATCAATACTCACCCCAGATCTCTCTTTACTACTTTTGATTAAAGAATCTTACCCATAGATTCCTTGCAGAGTTCTTTATTCCTATATGCACTGCTTCACAATTTGTTGTTTTAAACTGCATGTGTCTCCTATAAGCCCACCCTGTCTATAGTGTTTGCCATGCTCACAGTCTGCTATTACAGATTTCAGTAACTTCCTCTTGAGTCAACGTTCAACTTATTTATATGAATGGAAAATGGGAAAAGTTCCACTACAGATCTTTTGGGATTACCAATACCCAACATATCAAATGGGCTTTCTTCCTCCAATCAAGGTGTCCAACCTCTGTAATGGGCACAGGGTCACATATCAGTACAGTACAGACCACACAGGAGACCTATAGGGCCTGCACAAGAACTGGTCTCTTTAAGATGTGAGCGTGTGTGGCTTCGCAGGAATATCAAAGGGACCAGACGATACAATGAATAGACCAATGGCAGCATAAGAAAATCAGAGAAAACATTCCTGTTATTTGATTCAACCCAATTTGTCCTTGTCAACCCCCAGCCGACTTTCTTTGAAGACTGTTCACGCACAAGGAGGTAGAGATCAATGCAGGGTGGGCTTGGTGAGGGCAGTGAAGCTGGTTTTGGGGTCCAGACTCTCAATTACTATCTCATGTTTGACTACACTTCCTTAGGGTGTTATTCCTCCTGGAGTACAATGCCACTGTGGCTGTTTCTTATTGGAGCACAGTGCCACCATAACTGTCCTCTGTTGGGATACAGTACCACCTTGGCTGTCTCTTATTGGGGAACAGTGCCATTGTAGCTGTCTCTTGTTGGGGTACAGCGCCACCACGCCTATTCCCTGTTAGATTAGTTATCCCTGGTGCTGGTTCACATTCGGCTTCTATCACTGCTTCAGGCTTCTATCAGGCTGTAGTTACATACACACCTCGGGGTAAAGTCCGACATTCTGTATCCAGCCGCATCCTTCCTGTGCTTCTTAATCGGGGCAGCTATTTTCCAAAGGAAGAGCACATGTAATTTGCATCCTAATCCCAAGCCATCCTTGCCCAACGTTGACAGAGGGTAACTTTTAGCAAAGGCCATCCAATAACAGTCAGAAGCGAGACAGGTAAGAACAGAACCAACCACAGCATCTCTACAGCTAACCTAACACAGACCTACCACAGCATCTCTACAGCTAACCTAACACAGACCAACCACAGCATCTCTACAGCTAACCTAACACAGACCTACTACATCATCTCTACAGCTAACCTAACACAGACCTACTACATCATCTCTACAGCTAACCTAACACAGACCTACCACAGCATCTCTACAGCTAACCTAACGCAGACCTACCACAGAATCTCTACAGCTAACCTAACGCAGACCTACCACAGCATATCTACAGCTAACCTAATATGGGCCAAGGGTTGGACTGGACCTTTCTGGTCTGTACAGTTTGATATCCAGTCTCCCAGCTCCAGGATACTCTCTGTAAGCAATGAAAAGGTACCAGGAATGAGGAACATTGGTTATGTGGAAAAATAGGTGATGCTGTGATTATCCTCCATAGAGCTGAAGAGGTTAAATATCTAATCATGGAACACAGGAAAGCCATTTGACCCATCATGTTCTCTGTAAGAACAACTCATTGAGTTTCAATGCACCGACTTCCTGCCATACCCCAAACTATTTCTCTTCCTTTTTGAAAGCCACCATTGAATCTGCCTCCACAGCAGTTTCAGATGGTGCATTTCAGATCCCAAATATTCACTGCATGGAAAAAGACGTTCCCCATCTCAAGTTTGGTTCTTTTTCCATTCCCATCAAATCCATGTCCTCTGGTTCTGGATCTTTCCGCCAATATTCTTCCTTTATGCTCTTTCTGGACCCTCAATGATTTTGAATAACTCAATCAAATTGTGCTTGATTGTTGTCTCCTCGGGGCACAGCCCCGGTCTCGCTAATCTCTCCACGTAACTACGTTCCTCATATGTGGAACCAGTCTTAGAAGTCTCCTCTGCACTCTTTCTAAAGCCTTCATATCCTTCTAAAATGTGGTAAAATGTTTCCACTGGCTGCAGGGTTGGTCACCAGAGCCTGGAGATTTAGGATCGTTGGCAATTGAGGAGAGTTCTTTGTCAGGCAGCAAGTTATTTTGGAATGTAATCAAAAGAAAGATTCAATAATAACATTTGGAAAAACAGGAATTAGAAACACAACTGAGAAAAACATTTGCAAGGCCAGGGGGTAATAGACTAATTGAATAGTTCTTTCAAAGGGTTAGCAATTAGTAATTAGTTAGTAATTAGGGGGAGGCTTAGTGGTATTATCACTAGACTATTAATCCAGGTAGAATTCTGGGGACCCAGGTTCGAAACCCACCATGGCAGATGGTGGAATTTGAATTCAATAAAAAAAACTGGAATTAAGAATCTAATGATGACCGTGAATCCATTGTCGATTGTCAGAAAAACCCATCTGGGTCACTAATGTCCTTTAGGGAAGAAAACTGCCATCCTTACCTGGACTGGCCTACATGTGACTCCAGACCCAGAGCAATGGGGTTGTCTCTTAACTGCCCTCTGGGCAATTAGGGATGGACAATAAATGCTGCCTGGCCAGTGATGTCCTCATCCCGTGAATGAATAAAGAAAAAAAAAAGTAAGATATAATGAGCAGAATGGTCTATTGTTCCCTGATTGGATTCTATGAAGAATACTTGTGCCTCTGTGTAGGACAGCAAGAGAGTACAGTCACTGGCATACTCACCATTTCATCCAAGTTCCTGAAATCACACAGCTCTTTCTGTGGTTTGAGTTTTGGAGGGATGATCTCTGATGGCAGATCCATCTCCTCCCGGATCTCTTCCTCAATCTGTTCCTCCATCTGAATGAGGACCGGGGCCAACATCCCAAATTTGGAAGCTCTCCTCGCCACCTCCAGCAGGCACAGCACAAAGTTCTTCTCGTTTTTCCTCAACACCAGGTCCTCCGTCTCAAACATCAACACATCTGCAAATGGGAGCAGAGCCGGCAGGTCAGATCCATAAAGATCGGGAGACAATACACTGGGAGCATATCGAAAAAGAACGACCTGCATTTATATAGTGCCTGCTGTGAACTCAGAGCACCTCCCCATGCTCAATCCCAAAGCACTCTACAGTCAATAAAGAATTCATTGTGATCCAGTCATAATAGAAATGGGGGTTCCCAATTCAATCTCCTTCAAACTTTAATGAAGAGTGGCAAATCGAGTTTAATTTGGATAAATGAGAAGTATTATGTTCTGGTAAAACAAACAAAGACAAGACTTATACAATTAAAAGTAGGGTCTTGGGCAGTGTTGTAGAACAGAGAGACCAAGGGGTTCAGGTATATAATTCTTCGAAGTTTGTGTCTCATGGAGGCAGTGTGATTAAGAAGGTGTTTAGCATGCTTGCCTTCATTGCTCAGACCTGTTAGTATAGGGGTAGGGACATTCTATTGAGGATGTATAGATGTTGGTGAGGCCTCTTCTGGAGTACTGTGTCCAGTTCGATCACCTTGTTATAGGAACGATATTAGTAAGCTAGGGAGGATTTTGAAAAGATTTACCAGGATGTTGCTGGGAATGCAGGGTTTGAGTTATATAGGAAGGCTGGATAGGATGGGATGTTTTACACTGCAGTGAAGGAGGTTAAGAGGTGACCTTATAGAAGTTTATAAAATCATGAGGGGAATAGATAAGGTGAATAGCAAAAGTTTTTCACAATGGTGGGGGAGTTCAAAACTAGGGGGCATATTTAAAGTATTGGTAAAGATCCGTAGCTCAGGTTGTGGATGAGATTGTTGACTTGCTCACTGAGCTGGCTTGTCTTTGTTTAGACATTTCGTCACCATGCTAGGTGACATCATCAGTGGAGCCTCCAATGAAGCAATGTTATACTACTCCACTTGGAATTTATACTGTCCGATCCTGTCATTTCCGGTTTTGATTTAAATGGGTTTATATATGGGGTCCAATTCTATATGTTTGTTGATTGGAGTATGGGTTGAGAACCATGCCTCTAGGAATTCCTGTGCGTGTCTATGTTTGGCTTGGGCCACTATGGTTACTTTGTCCCAGTTAAACTGATGGCCTTCATTGTCTGAATGTACAGATATTAAGGAGAGTTCATCGTGCCGTTTTGCTGCTGACTGATGTTCATGTATTCTGATGGCTAGTTTCCTTCCTGTCTGTCCGATGTAATGTTTGTGGCAGTCGTTGCATGGTATTTTGTAAACCACGTTCATTCTGCATGTTGTGGGAATGGGATCTTTAATCCTTGAAAGTGTTTGTTGTAGAGTGGCTGTGAGGGCCACCATGATTCCTAGTGGTCTTAGGAGTCTTTTATCAGTTCTGATATGTTCTTGATCCTTCAATCAACAAACATATAGAATTGGACCCCATATACAAACCCATACAGATCAAAACCCGAAATGACACTACTCACAATAACGGGCTGGACAGTATAAATTCCAAATAAAGTAGAACAACGTCACTTCATCGGAGGCCTCACTGATGATGTCACCTAGCATGGTGACGAAACATCTGAACAAGAACAAGCTAGCTTGGTGACAGCCTCATAGGGGGCATATTTTTAAGGTGAGAGGAGACAGATTTAAAAAGATGAGGCAATTTCTTTTTGTACACAGTGAGTGGTTCATGTGTGGAATAAACTTCCAGAGGAAGAGGTGTATGCAGGTAAAGTTACAGTGTTTAAAAGACATTTGGGTAAGCACATGAGCAGGGGATGTTTGGAGTGATATTGGCCAAGTACAGGCAGGTGGAACTGGTTTAGTTTGGTATTGAGATCGGCATGGACTGGTTGGACCGAAGGGTCTGGTTCCATGCTGTATGATTGAATGTCACTGTTCGCTTTGACTCAAGGAAGTAAAAAGGCAAGAACTACCTAAACAGGGAACAGCTATTGAATTCCAAGGTGCAGAGGTGTTCTCATGTACAAGTCACATAGGTTAGTATGTAGATACAGCAGAAATCTAACAGGATGCTATTGTTAATTACAAGTGGAAAGGGACAAAAGGGTAAGGAGACCCAAAAACATTAAGAGATAACAAGGTGTAGAGCTGGATGAACACGGCAGGCCAAGCAGCATCAGAGGAGCAGGAAAGCTGACGTTTCGGGCCTAGACCCTTCTTCAGAAA